TATAGTTTAATTTTTAAGTCATTGTGATATATACAATTATTTGATAATTTTATAAACCGTTTAAAATTGTGTAAATTATATATCAAATGAATGATAATATAACGGGTAACAAAACGTATGAACAAAAATATGAACTGCAACATTTAGTAACATAAAAATAGAAAAACATCTATTATAACATTTGTATTAAAAAATATATATATACAACGAATAATAAAAAATATGAAAAATAAACACTATAACTTTTAATAACATAAAAACACTAAAACATTATAACATTTATATTAACTCTTCATATTTAAATCACAAAAATCTCTTCAAATACATTAATGTTTTTAATGAGCAAAACTTTACAACCTTATAAAAGAAAGGAAAATAAAAAGTTATTAGTGATTAGTAATTAATAATCATAAGTTAAAAACTCTTGAGTTGTAACTAATAAATATACATAAATTAGAAAACTCTTGAGTTGTAGTGTGAGTTTCAAATGAATGCGGTACTTGAAAATGTATATTTATTATTATTATTATTATTATTATTATTATTATTATTATTATATTCGTTTAAATAATTGGTTTTGATGCATCATTTTAATCCCTTCAACTATTAAACATAAAGATATTTAATTATAAATTTATAACATACATAGGTGCATATACATGTTAAACAAATCACATATAATATATATATTTTCGTAAATGTCATATGTAATTCTTGTCGTAGTAATATGGATAAATTACTTTCATATGAAGAACATATCATGATAAGTCTATCATAATTACATATGAAATGTTCAAAATTATGTTATCTTTTAAATATTGTCTTTTAAATATGTTGTGTAGGATAACCCAACAAAAAAATAATAGAAAATAAACATAATCAAAATAGAAAAACTACAATCAAATAAATAAGAGCATTGGGTGGTTGAATATATAAATAAAGATGTTACATAAACATACATTTAAATCAAAAGAAAAAACTAACATTCGTCAACTTTGCTCAAACAAAAAAACCTATATCCATTTTATGAATCTTCTTTCTTCATTTAACACCTTTCAACCATAGAAACTTGATGACAATTCTTCACTAACCTGCAATCAAAATATTTTTCTTGAAAAAGAAGAATCAGAAAGATATTCTAAGCAAAACATTGATGTTTGGAGAGTCACATTCAAGATTGAGTAATACACACAAATCACATATAAAGATTAAATGAGAAACTGAATATAAAGAAAGAATAGAAAAGCTTCATTTGTTTTGGTTGAAAGAAAAAACCATATTACAATTACCATCGATGCGACATAACCGATTTCTTCAAATCATCATATTTGGATCGTGAATGTTTCAACTATATGAAAACTTTTGAATCACAATATCTTCAAATCCTTCTTACATGTAAGATTTTATATAACACAAAAGACACAAAAGATTGGCCTTTTATAGTAAACTTTTCACTAAATGCTAATTAAACATAATATAAGTTATAAAACTTTTGAGTGTTAAATCATCATTAAGAAAACTTTTGAGTTGCATTAGTTAAAAAAAGGGGGTTTCAAATGAATGTGGTTTAAGGAAGTTAAAAAAAGGGGTTTCAAATGCATGAGATTCAAGAAAAAATGCTAGCTTTATAAGTATGTATGATATGAGGTGTTGAACTTATAGAGTGTGTGATTTTCTTGGAATAGGATTATGTGTGATTAATTACTTTGAAGGTGAAAGGGTGTGGGGGTTTCAAATGCATGATGTATTGGCAAATTTTTATGGGGGTTTCAAATGCATGAGATTCAAGAAAAAAATGATAGCTTTATAAGTATGTAGGATATGATGATATGATATAGAAGATTTGTATATCTATTATAATATAAACATATTTTCAAACACCATATTGATATGAAACTTCTATATTGTTTATGATTTTCTTCAACGACTTTTCAAATGTCTTTTAATAAGGAGTAGTAATTGCCTTAAGTCGATATCAAGACAGTCGAAAACGGAGTTCGTATGAAGGAGTTATGAATTTCTCACAGACTTCAAGAGTCTAATCCGGTCTAAATATGAATTTTTGTTAGAGCGAGAATTAGCGATTGAGACCTTAATAAAAGTTGTAGAGCTCGTCGAGCAGATTACAGGGATATAAAGAACGTCAAAATCGGAGCTCGTATGAAGAAGTTATGAATTTTCAAAAATATGGAAATTCGCATGCGCAGTGCACGACACACGCGATGACGTGGCACCATGAGAGAGCGCCATGTGGCAATGTCGGGCAGTCGAACTCTTCGAGAGACATCGTGGCATGGCACCACAAAAAACCAACACGTGTCTCACCAATATTATGACACGTGACATGTTCTAGAAGAGGTTGAGGTGGCCTGCTCTAGTAGCGACACATGGAACTAAACTGATGGTCCAACACACCTGATGATGTACGACACACACACACACTATGATGCACAACGTGCAACCCCCGAAATCCGATAAATAGGCTGCAAAACTTGCTCATTTCCCTCACAATTCATCCACAATCTCTCTGGATCCCTTCCCTCCATTACGACTGACTTTTTTCGGGTTTATGAGTATTTTAGCGAGGCTATAGCATATTTAGGAGTCCGAAAAGAAGGAACACATGGGTCGGATTTTCTATTCGTTCAATTTCCCAGTTTTCGCTAAAACCTCTGTAAGTTACGCTACACTCTTTTGCTTTCAGTGTAACTTGTATTTATAGCCATAAGTCGATATTATGAATTGTTAACGTATCCCTCCGGGAATACGCCAAAGATAACGGGATGACGATCCGAGGGACGACCTAGCTAACAGTCGTTACCCGGCCTAAGTGCTAGGCCTGGGCCCTCGCCCTAACGAACTCGTGTTTAGGCCCTAGTGTCCTAACACCAAGACCCATAACAGGCCAAAATAGTACCAAATTGCTCCCTAGAACGACAAGTGTAGCGCTCAGAGCGCTGCTTCTCAGTAACTCTTCACCAATAGAAGATAACCGCTAGTGGTTCATGACACACCAATAGGACGCCTCCACGTCCTAACAGTCTCAACAAAATAGAAGGCGTTGTCGGGAACATGCTCCCCGGACGACAGGTATAAAAGGACCCTTCTTCTCCAAAAGAAGGGATCGCTCTCTGTTGTGATATGTGTTCCAGACTTAACTCCGTCTCTAGGTGTCTTGATGGGACTAAGCCTAAGAATCACATCACAGAAGGAAATACCGTTAGACGTCGTCCGGGGAAGAATCCCAGAGTGAAGCTCTGATGGTCTAGTAAGTAACCAGATGAGAGAATTTGGGTTCTATTGGAAAAAGTATAGAGAAAGGCGATCTATTCTCTTGGAGTAGAAGGGTTGTACTTATACCTGCTGTCGGGGGGACAGAACCCCGACAATACCTTTTTGTCTCTTTAGAGCCGACATGACATGGGGGTATCCTATTGGCGGGTTGTGCTCTTCTAGTGGTTATATTCTATTGGTGTAGAGTCCCCAGAGGACCATGTCCTGAGCATTACACTCGTCGCTCTGGGAAGCAGCTGGTACTGCTTTGTCGTGGAGATGAATTTGTTGCTTAGGAACCAAGGGATGAGTCCGGGGCCGCGAGGGCGAGGGCCCGACCTCGATATTAAACAGGTGATGGCCATTGACTAGGTCGTATTTAATGGTTTTGTTATATTTGGCGTATTCCTAAAGGGATACATTAACAAGTCCCCTAGGCTAGTAAACCTTTGCATTGGGATGATGTAGCCAGGTTGTTCTATCCTTGATCAGAACACATATTAGGTGGAGGCGGTCCTGACAGCTGGTGACGTGACAGGTCCTTTCCGCGTGGACAATTTTTATTGCAAAAACCGTTTGGTTTTCTCACTTCACATTTTGAACCTCCCTTATTTAGGAGCGGTTGGATTCTTCTATATCTTTTACACTTCTCCGCATCTTTGGCTTTTCTATCTTGTTCGTTTTCCTCTGTTGTGTTCTTGTTCTTTGTTCGTGATGGCGTTCTTTCGAAAAGGGAATGACCTAACGTCGGAAGAGTTCGAGTCCCTGTAGTTCCGTTTTGGGTTTACGCCTGACCATGGGGTGCAGTTTCCGAAGGAAGGGGCTATCCTTTACCATCCGCCAGCGGGGAAGTTTGGGATTTCCGTGTCGATTTTCGAGGCGGGACTTCGTTTCCCGGTCTCGGATTTCTTTGACGAAGTGATGAGAGAGTATGGTTTCTCCATCCACGATCTTATGCCTAATGTTGTTAATAAGATCGTTGGGTTCGAATTGGCATGCCGAACCCTGGGTATGCTTCCCCACTTCCGGACCTTCCAAGATTTCTTCAATTCATCCACCCAATTTAGCGTCCATACTTTTTCTCAGAATCGCAACACGCACACATTCATTATTAACCAAAAGGTTCCTTGGAAGAACTGGCAGAACCGGTGGTTGTGGGTCAACAACGACCTGGTCGGTCATAGCTATCCTTGCATGTCTATCTCTTCGGATCGAGCCCCTCAACTTTCGGGAATCATTTTATCCATTGTTCAAGCATTGAAGGGGATCTGCTTCAACGGAGAGGAGTGGTCAGACTGTATTTTGGCGGCAACAGGGATGAGTGATGTTTGGCGGGCTCGAAGAGTGATGCCCCGATTTTATGTGGAGAATGATGGTAAGTACCGCTTCCCTGCCCCTCCCCCCACATTTTTTCCTGGTAAATTGAGTAATTCCTTTGATGGGAAGATCAATTGCTTTATATTATTCCTCTGATTGCAGGTTCTGAGAAGGTCTTGTTCCTTAAGAGGGTGATGTGTGGTCATTTCAAGGGTGAGCTTCAATATCACGAAGTTCCCTTGGTGGATTCTCTTCCGCCTCCTATCTGTGGTTCTTGGGTGGCAGTATCTGTTGTTCTATCTGGCACCGGAGAGGAGGAGTCTGCTCCTCCCGTCAGCCCTGGTCTATTGCTTCCTTCTGGTGGGTTACCTATGGTTGGGGAGCCATCCGTCGGTGGGGACGAGTGACTTCTAAGCGATGAACTGCGCTGGTGGAATCTGCCATTTCGGGTGGCAGCGGTGTTGATTCGATTGGCAAACGACTCTGAAAGCGGCGCAACATTGACTCTTTGGATGTGGAGTCTCCCTTGGTGATAGATATTGCCGACGACTATGTATCTCGGTTGTTAGAGGGGGTGAAACAGGGAACAACGAAACTACCTCGTCCATTAGGAGGGGCGGTGGATCCTTCCCTTGGAACTGGTTGGTTGCTGTGGGACTCCTCTGCAGTGTATCTCCCTGTCTGGGACCTCGCCCCTGGCTCTCTTCTGTCGGATCAGGCCGATTCCCACGAGTGGTGCCGACACACATTTCCTACAGCTACTTTGGAGTCGCTTGACCTTCTGTTTTATTCCCATATGGAGAATGACCTCAAATACGTTGTGGCCCAGATCGCCCCTATTTAGTGGTTGCAGTTGGTCGCCTTTGTTACATTGAGGCCGATTTGGCGGAGTCGGCTACTATCAAGGTTGTGCGCGACGAGCTTAGGGAGAGGGTACAACTCTTCGAAGACGAAATGTGTAAGTTCGATGAGCGCTACGTCGTGTTATTAGGGGAGAAGTCTATCGCCGAGGACCAGGTGACAACCCTGGATGGGGAGGTGGGTCGCTTGTCTCAGCAGGTACAGAGTCTGGAAGTGGAAAAGCAAGCTTTGGAGGAGCGTCTGAATTGGCAGGGCGGGGAGATAGAGGTTGTTGTTGAAGGAGAAGGCTTTGGGGGAGGACCTAGATTGGGTCCTTCAGAAGGGTGTGGTCCGTGTAGTGGACCACGTTCTTGAAAGTGGTGAGTTTTCCCTTGGGATTTCATGTGTGAAGGCTGCGTGCGTGGCCACTGGTGTGGAGAGTGGCAAGGAGATGGTGCAGAAGTAGGTGGTTGTCCGCAAGTTTAATTCGTCGGAGTCGAGTATTGTAGTGCAATCTGCCGATGCTATGCATGCTTCCGTGAAGGCCTTTTTCGAGACGAATTTCGCCTCATACCTTCGTTTGGACGAATTGGATCTTGTCGGACTTCGTCAGTTGTGTTGCGACTCCGACTCCGGTGAACATGGCATGTGTAACGCCCGTAAGTTAGGCTAGACAATAAAAGAATAATAATAATAAATACTTTTTATTGAACAATTAAAATCCTCGAATAGGACAATTTTTCATCATACGCTTTACGGGTTATGTAAAAATACTTATTTATTATATATGTGTTATGTAGACAAATATTATGGGAATATAATATTTGTATAAATCTTTTTATAAAATTATCGAAGAGCGATAAAATAACATTTTTTTAAATAAAAGATTATTTAGGATAAATAATCTTAACGAAAGTTGTAACGACCCTAAAATATCATTATGTATGTTATAAGATGTATTTGGTCTAAATACTTGACTCAAATAGTGAAACAGTAATTTTTATGTTACATATGTTTTCCGACGATAATTATTAGTTATATTTTACGACGTTAGTTATCGATTAGCAGATTTAGAAAGTTTGTAAAAAAATATATATATATTATATATTTGACAATATTTCGTATTCAGATATTTGAAATTAACAACATAAGTTCTAAATCTATATATATATATATATATATATATATATATATATATATATATATATATATATATAATATTATGATTTTTAGTCATAATAAAAAAAGAAACGTCCACTTATATAATATGTTAATTTCATAAGTTATAGTAAATAGTCAAATAGTTATGAAGGAAAAATAAGTTTGTGAAGTTTATCCATATTTATAATTCATACAAAAGAGAACACATATGAAAGTTTATTTGGCAAGTTCATTTGGTACGTGATGATTAACTAATCACTAGTGTACAACTTCAAATTAATTAGGGGGCAACGTGTCAATATTTAAGATGACTTGCTTTTTGGAAACCTATGGATTCTTTGAACCTTGTTGAAAGACTTTGAGTATAAATAAACATCCGATCAACATTTTTCTATGAAACAAATAAATATATCGTAAAGAAGTTTTGAGAGACCAAGGAGTATAAACATACATAAGGTTTCGGCAAGATAATAAGTTGGAAAGCAGTGCTAAGCTTGATATCAGGACAATAGTTAGTCTCCACTAACTAGCCAAGTGAGTGCATAATTATTTTCATCTTACACATAGATATGAAGTATTTTATATAAATTATGTGTTATGTGTGCATATTATTTGTTTACCTGATATCTATGTTGGATGAACAATTTATACATGTTTTAAATGATTTAAACTGTATATGTATTTTATATCTACAAATATATTGGGGTAAAACATGGGTAGATGAAATAGTTGGTGTGTGATGAAATAAAATGATGAGAGGCCTTGATGTTGACGATTATCTAGTCATCTAGCGGAGTATAAATGATGACCACATACTATTCTAGCCAGTCCAGTGGAACGGTAGCAGACTCGCAACCTGTAGGTGTTTGTGAACGATGTGTTCACCGGTGTACTCCATCCCCCTCATGTTTTCCTTACAGACATTTATTGCTGAGGAACCCCCTTAGCAGTAGTGTCCATCCCGATGAAAATCCTTAGGCTAGGTCCCTTACTCTAGATGCTTTAGGGACAGAAAGTGAGGATAACGAGAACGGGTAATCGGGTTGTTTGATTTGATGAAATTAATAAACTTAATTATTGTGGGTTGAAAACCCTATGTACTCACCAGACTTTCCCAAGCCTGACCCACTCAGTTTATTGTATTACAGGTAGTGGCAAGAGAGCACAGGAGTGATGATCTGATGAGAGATCAATGGATTATAGGCTACTAGAATAAATAGATATTATAAGGCCTATGTTGTTTCTGTTTATGCTTTTGATCTGTATTGAAAATGACATCCCGAGGTTTTTAATATAATACATTTCTTCGAAATGATTTGATAAATTCTTTATCATATTTTTGGGAACAAATTCAGCAACATATTTCTTTAAAAATATACTCTGATTTTCAAATAAAGCATAAAAAAATCGGTCTTTTCTGGCCGTGAAATTGGGGATGTCACAGCATGTCCTCCCCCGCTCGTGATAATTGAACTCTCTCATAGCGTTGCTTTTTGCTATTGGTTTGTTTACGACCCTGTATGGCCTTCAAATTTGGGGATGTCCAGTGGACAAGTTACCAAATTTATCTTTAAATGCAACGGTTGCTCCCGGTTTATTGTGTTTTTCCCTATTGTCCAGGTGGTTTGTGTTGGCTACCCAGGTCTGGATTCGCACCAAAGGCTAATGTTGTCCTTTGTGGTGTATGTGTTGTTTTTTTTGCTTTGTATTGGGAGGACTTTGAGTGTGATTCCCATTTGTTTGCCAAAACATTTTGGGAACCAAGGCAAGCGCCCTAGCGAGCTTGGCCCCCAACCCTTTTTTAGAGTCGTGGGTTCGCCTTTGTAGGGCCGAGGCATTGGCCTACCTTTGAATATGAACCTTATCTAGTCTGCTTCACGGGGCTTTGCTTTAAGTTCTGCCAAGGAGGGTTGCACTCCGGTCTTAGTCGTCTAATCCAGGCCGAGATCGTCACCTTGAGGCCCAGGGGTTTAGGTATTATGTATTTCGAGGGAAAGGTTATGATCCTCTAAGGCCTCTACTTTCCATGGTCAGGAGTTGTGGCTCTTTCGATTTTACTCACATGTTTTTAAGGAAAGGTTATGAGCCTCTGACGCCTATGGTCGTGTACTTGCAACGGTTTCGCTCGAACGACATAGTCTACTAGAATAAATAGATATTATAAGGCCTATGTTGTTTCTGTTTATGCTTTTGATCTGTATTGACAATGACATCCCGAGGTTTTTAATATAATACATTTCTTCGGAAATGCTTTGATAAATTATTTATCATATTTTTGGGAACAAATTCTGCAACATATTTCTTTAAAAATATACTCTGATTTTCAAATAAAGCATAAACAAATCGGTCTTTTCTGGCCGTGAAATTGAGGATGTCACAGTTGGTATCAGAGCATTAGTTTAAGCGAACTAGGAATTGTGAGGATTTCTAGACTTAAACTTAGATTGCTAAGTGATGATGGTGAGGTGTGTGTCTAGTATACTTTAGGTTGAATACCTAAATTAATATTAAATAGATACAAGCACTAAAATATTTGAGGGTATATGCCTTAATTAATGTTATGTGCTAATAGAATCGTTTTATAGCATGCCTTAGGTTAAATACCTTACTTGCTATAGTGTGCACTAGTATACTTTAGGAGAGATGCCTTATATGCTAATATGTAGTAAATGATAAATAATATAGCATGCTTTAGGTTGCTTACCTATATTGCTATTACGTGAGGAAGTTTAAGGTATGTTTCCGACCTTGGTTTGGAATAGGAAATTTTATGTGTTCAGGATTCTAAATATTTAATTACTTTATTAGAACTGGCATGAAAATTTTCGAGGGGATAAGGAGAATTACGATAGTTGACATCGATAACTTCATAAATAAACGATCGAGGGATATCGTAAAATAATTCCTATCAAGTGATACCGTAAATAGTATATTAATACCTATAGAGTGGTGTTGTACATTCAAAGTATGTTTGATGAAATAATAACACCTTTGGAGGAATGTTGTGCATTTGAAGTACATTTAGACGAGATGAATGTTTTGGCGTAATCCATGAAGTTGTTCCACCGCGGACTAGATTGAAGTAGTGATTGCTTACAGAGTTAGAAGAGCTGATCTGTACCCTATACATGATGCTTGGACTTAGTATTTAAAAATACTTAGTGACAATTGACTTCTATCACATCCTTATGAAATTTCTATAATGTGTTAACCCGACTTTAACATACAAGATTAGGGTGGTGAAATGAGTCATTTAGTTGTGAAAGGCTCACTAACTTACTTGTCTAAGTAAGGTAGAATACTTAGTTGAAGAAGCAATACACCCATAGTATTGCATGAGAAGAGATGTTGTTGTAAGGATTGACAGGGAACCAAGTTGAATCTAGTAGAACATGCAAAGATGCAGCTAAAATGCAAACTTCCTAGGATTTACTCCTATGAAGTAGACTTACAAGATACACAAATGAGAAGCAATTTTTCTAAGATTAACTCATATAAAGTAATGACGATGTAATGGAAGAATGACTAAATGGAATGATATCCGTAGTAACTTGCATGAGTTTGAAAATAATACAAGTAGTTGGAGAGCATTTGTCTCCCTACCGCTAGAGTAAATTCTGGTATAGTGTGCCTTGCAGACTGGACACTACCCGAGAAATAATTTTTGTGAAATATTTGGAAGTGAAATTCCTAGTGACCTACGAAAAGTATGAGAATATGATTAATTTGCGCATATGCATGAGAAGGT